CAGGGTGCTTACCCCGGCGAGCCGCGTGCCGAACGTTGCCGACCCCTTATTTAGAGCATCATCCAAGGAAATATTTTTTCATCTGTTTGTGTGTGTGCGGTGAAATAGACATTTACCAACACAAATCTGATCCTTCCAGGCCTATTTACAAGTAACTCTTGAACCCAAGATGGGAAACCACTCATCTTGGCTGCTGAACTGCACTGCTCCTTCTGATGCATTCTGTTGACGTTCAGGACCTGGCACGTTTCACAGCAGCCACAGGCTACGTGAAGTTTACAGCACAACGGCTCGGACTGCAAATTTCACAGGCTGAGAAGTTTATTTTTGAAAGTGCTGCCCTGCATAGTGTGGATAGAAATGGAGAAGAGGGTGGGCAGTGGAACTACCTGCTGGGAGCTCCTTCATTGCAGAGAGCTGCTTTTCTGATGGTGTAGAAGAGAATGTTGCTTTTTGTCACAGTTTTGGCTCGCCATAGATTATACTGGGTTCTATTCAAAGTCTTGGTCCTAATTTTCCAGGATCTGCATAGAACTGACCCAGAGTAAGTTACAGAACCTCTCTCTCTAAGATGATGACACCACCTTCCAGGGTCTAGCTTACCAGAGTGGGACTTAGAGCTTTCTCCGCAACAGGAGCAAGGTCTGGCACCATTGCTGGGGAAGGCTAGAATGACCGCAAATCTCACAGCCTTCCCAAGGGAGTATAAAACTCACTTCTCTGACAGAGACAGGAAAAGAGGTGAAGGCGAAAGAGAGAGGGGAAGGAATAGCAGGAGCGGAAAGAGCAGAACAAGAGTTTAGAAATGCATTGGGAAAATAAAACCATGGCTCCAACTGCCAAAGGGGATGCAGGGAAAAAAAAAATCAGACTGCTGGTCTATTGGGAATTCAGGCTCTCAAGGCGGGTTCTTAATAGCACCTATGACTTCGGAGCACAAATATCATTGACAGTCAATGGACTTGCACCCCGACGTTACGTGGGTGCTTTTGGAAATCCGGCCTGTCGTCTCTTGGGAGCTGCCCAGATATTACATTATAAAAACATCAACAGATAAATCGGCAGGTAGCGAGGGGGACGGACAGACAGATAGAAAAGACTAATACAGACAGATACTGCAAGAGAGATCTCCACAGCTGGAAGCAATGGGTTCCATAGACGTGGCCTAGCCTGCTTTCCCCATGAGGACGCAGGGCAATGGCAAAGCCTTGGACCAGCCTACTCCGCTCCAACAGCCAGCCAAGCTGAAAGAGGAAGCAGCTCCTAAATACAGAGCAATTAGCTTCTCTGCTGATTGAACACTTGAGTGCCAGCACAAGGTGTCCAAGTAGCCCAGGAGAATAATGTTGTCTGTTTACCCACAGAATAAGTACAGCACAAGACAGCAGCAGTGCATCTTCGCAATCTTTCCCTGCACGTGGGCTTAATCCTGAGCAGGAGGGATCAGCTCCGACGGGAAGAAGGCAGGTCGGTCCCCATGGCTATGATGTCATTGCTAGGGAGGTGGACACCTGTCCACTACAACGAACATCAACAAGTCATTTCATGCAGGCTGCCAGGTAACCACCAGGTAGCAGGGGCAGAGCCTGTCTCGTGCGGTGTTTTGTACAGCCCCTAGCACCACAGGACCCTGATCTTGGCTGGGGTCTCTAGACACAAATGTAATAACCATGTGTTTGGAACTGGTATGACTTCAGCAGGTGATTTCAGAGTGAAACCCTCTGTATTTCCAAACTCTGCTGCTGTTTAAAACCTCAGCCCACCCCTTTTCAGCCTGACAGCTATTTGGCTGACTGTACTGATCCAGTCCTTGGCCTCGATCAAAGCAAAATAACCCCCTCTGTAAATGCAAACTGTACACACAGCACCAATGTATTTGTGTTTCTGTTACCCCATTGTTTAATGCACAAAAATCTGTGGAGAGTTTAAAAAGCAATTAGAAGCAGAACTATCTGATTCCTGCCACAGGCCCCCCTAATGCATGGAGGGGCCTGACCCCAACTCTCACACTTCCAATGCGCCCTGGAATGTACTCAAAAGTGAGGTTTTTTGCAGACAATTTATAAAGTACAACGTAATCTGCTGATCCGCCAATGCTGATCCAAGCACATTAGAGACAGGGAATAAAAATAACGACAGTTCTATTGGTCCTTAGTTGGTTACACATTGCAATAGCCCCTGAAAATACAAACTGGATGGAGAAAGGCCAGGATTTTTGGTTTTGTTTTGTTAATTTCAGATCCAAAAGATACAGCCGTTTCTAAGCAGGGCAGCGTGCTGCAAGGCAGTGGACCTCCTAACCAAGAAAGCTGCTCTCACAGAGATCAGTAGATAAGACAGCGATTCAGTGTCCTGCCAAGAGTTTAGGTCCCGATCCCACAAGCTGTTCCCTATGAACAGACCCCTGTGGAAGTCCATCCATGTAGAACAGCTTGCAAGATCCGGGCCATTCATGGTTTGCCAAGATGAGACCTAAAGGCTCGATCCTGGTTCCCCACTGAAGTCAATGACAAAACTCCCAAACTCCCACCAATTTCCATGGGGGCAGGAATCTCATACGAACAAGCTGAAACTAAAGTTTGCAGACAAGCATATGTAAGTAAATGTTCTAGAGGAGATAGGATTGGATCAAAGGAAAATAGTTAACTGTGTGTGCCTCAGTGACCCCTGTGGGAAAGGA